CCGGAACCGACATCAAAAAGGTTCTAATGCTGCAAGTCCTGCATCATCAGAATAAGACGATGAAACAGCAGAAAAGTAGCGGGGGTGAGAGAACTCAGATTTCGCCGAACGCACAGCAAACTCAGACGCCTCAGCAAGATCGTCAAGATCCATTGATCACCGCCCAGACTGCGCAAAAGCTGATGTCAACAGCCAAGCCCGAACCTCCAGAAGAAACCGAAAGTGACGTCGATCGATGGCCCCTTGAGAGTCGAAACAAAAAGCGGCGGTTAATGAATGGGCAGGACCGGAACCAGCAACAGCAACCCGCTGTCCTCGAGAAGCAAAGCATTACTAGATCGATGCGAAAACGACAGAGTGAGGCGCAGCAACAGACACTGCAACCGCAAAGTATGGGAAGCTTCGAAGTTCAAGATCAGCAAGAAGCTCAGCGCCGGTTCCAAGAACATGAGCTTCGGGCATCGGAGGAAAGATCACACCATAGCCCAGTTGCTCCCGGTGGCGCACCACCAATTCTGCAGCCAGTGTCTTCAAGTTCCGGGATGAGATCACTGGAGCAGCAGATGCAGCAACAGCAAAGGGTGTCTCATGAGACTCAACAGATAGAGCAACGGCCAAGAATGCTCCGTAACTATGTATACACCCCTGATGGTAAACTGACCAGACGTCAAAACAAGAACGCTGCCCCGGCTCCAATAGCTCTAGGAGGGTATCAAATGGAACTCATGCGACTTGAGCAAGAGAAGAAGGATCAACGGTTGCGGGAAAAGAGGGAGCGAGAGGAGCAACAGCAGTCGGCGCAAGAGCAAGGCATGCGTCACCAGAAGTCTACGCAGCAACAGCAGCAGGCATATCGACAAGACCCTCCGTCTTTCCAGGATTTAGACACGCGATCAAGTCCAGTCACCGCCAGAGACATCTCGCCTACTCGACGAGGTTCACCTAACTCGCACCAGGATCCGCCTGATCTATCGCTACCATCGTCTGACCACCAATATCAGGACCATGGTATAAACTCATTCGCGAGTCCACCTCGAGGTTGGAGAGCTGCAGATATCACTGCGTCACCACGACAGCGGTCTACACTGGATCTAGCGCGTCTACAAATGCAAGAAAGCTCAGCATCTGTTCCATCTTGGAGGAACCATCTGCCCAACCCGTCTTTCGGACAAGAAACTGCGACAAGCTCGTCCCCCTCCCCCAGCGATCGTGTACTTGCCACTTCAGTGCCGCGAGAGTCACCTTGGGGTCAGCGCCAGTCATCATCTGGCAATGAAGATACAGCACCGGATATGTTTACCTTCGGGTCAGCTGGTTCCCAACCGTTTTTCGCTTAAGTACGTCGGCGTGCGCAGGGCTTACCGTCGTCTAATGATGACACGCCGGCGAATGCGGACTTGAAAAAGTCGCGCGGACCAATCTTCTCTGCACGAGGACCGTAGTACGATTGATCAAGAATATGTATATATACATTCCAGCTAAAGCTACCTATCCATCCATTTCATCCATCCATCCATCCATCCATCCATCCATCCATCCATCCATCCATCCATCCATCCATCCATCCATCCATGCTCGTTCATATGCCATCGTAAATACTCGTTTCCAGTAAGACCTTCATCGCATCCACTACATTAACCCCCGTACAGCATGAAAGCCTAACCGCTGCCATAAACCCCTACTAACTGTTCATCTTTGTATAAACTCCATTGCCCATGACGCACCATTCATGTGAGAAGAAGAATAAACATCGCACTAGCGCACGAACGCACAAACGCCCACTCATAAAGAAAGAAAGTAAAGGAAATAATAGGAAAGAAGATAGAGATGGCACATGCCCGTGCCGTGCCGTGATGTGCTGTGTACGCCCGTGGTTGATCATGTCAAGCCGAAGCTTTAAGAGACTTTTATGTATATGCCGTTGAAAGATGGGAGGGATTAGGGTCCGTGTTGTGGGAGGAATTGGACCCTGTATGCAAGTTGCGCCGGGAACGCTGAGAATTTTTCAACCTTTTTCTTTGAAAGTGAGTGATGTAGGGGAAGAATGTCGTAGAGATAAGGGTCGTGGGGCGGGTTGGGTCGCTGTTGGTGCTGATTTGGCTCTGGGCGTTCGGGCTAGGTATTCGCTATCGTCGTACATCGTCTCGGTGTCGTCCGTCAATTCAAGCATTCCCGCCCCAAGCACCCGCACCCGTCTCCTTGCCGAGTGCAGAACTACCCGCCGTCCGATGACCGCCGACAGGGGCCAGGTTCGGGCTACCCTTGCCACCACTACCCCACGACAGACCGCTCAAACGCTTGTTGCTGTTGCTAGAAGTAGTCGAAGCGCCGTCCCTGCTTTTGTTGAGATCGTCCTCCTCTTCCATGCTGAACAGCCCCTGCTCTTCCTCGATCCTCTCACGGTTGATGCTGCTGCTGCTTACAGCGCGATCGATGCCGAGACGGCCGCTGGAGCTGCCGATGCTGGATGCGGAGGTGACGCGGTTGATGCCGGGGTGGACGGGATTGCTGGTGATGCCGCTTTCGTCTCGTGCTGATATGCGGGTGCGCGAGAGTTGCTGGCTTATCATGGACATGGAAGCTTGACGCGGAGGTGAGGCGAGGTATGGGCTCATGTCGCCTGTGGTGGGTCGGTTCATGGCGCGTAGCGAAGGGCTGGCTCCTGGGTGGAGGCTTGAGTTGCGGAGGGGAGAGCCAACGTGTCCGAATGCCGACTGGCCGGGCAGTGAGCCTGATTCAAATCCTCCGTCGTAAGTCGGGCCTCGGGGCTTGGCCCACATGGACTGGAATCGCGAGGGAGAAGCTGTGGCTGCTGATGGTGATCCGTACTTGAGGTCTGACGCTGTTGGCGAGACTCCGAACCTGGACTGGGATGTGCGATTATCGCTCTCGCCCTGGTCGCGCGAGAAGCGGCGCATCTTCTCCTGTGGTGTCAGAAGATCGCTCAACGAATTGGGCAGCAGGTCCTCCTCGAATTTGCCAATCATGTCCGTCTCATCCCATTCCTCATCCTTGTATGTCGGCCGCGCGCCTACACTCGAAGACATGATACCCCGGGAGCGGTTCGCGGCAAGCTCAGAATGTAGCATCCTCCGTCCAACTGGCTGCTCTACTGACTCTGGTGGAGACGACCCAAGTCCTGCAATGCCCCTCCGCAGACCATCTCCAAACGCAGAGTCATGTAGGTTTCGTAGCGCGGGCGAATCGGCTTGGTACGAGGATGGCGGGGAGTTCGCGAGGAACTTGGCGGGTACTGAGGACGCAATGGGGCCGTATCGCGCCATGGTCGAGACACCCTGGCTGTCGAAAGACGCGGGAAGTCCTACATCCATCACACTCAAACCCTTCTGTGTCGGCGATATCGGGAGTCGGCCGTTCTCGTTTGGCGGCGAGCCATAGTTGGAGCCTGGGTGGGAAGAGAAGGTGGTGTCGATGGTCGGGATCATGTCGTACTGGTTCTTCTGGTTCGCGTACTCGTCGGGCATGGCGTACGGGTAGCCGGGCTGCATACCGCCCATGTGTGCCTGCATGGTAAGTAGCGAGCTATTCATGGGCATCTCCTGGTGGTGTGGAATGTTCATGCGGCTAAAGTGGTTACCGGCGTTTCCGCGGTTCACGACATGGCCGTTGGGGAGGATGTGGGCGAGGGCGCATTTCTGGCCGAACTTGCAGTTTCCCTAGTACCTTGATTAGCGATGATTCACATCCTCCCGCACATGTCTTACCTTGGTGAAGTACTTGCAGGGCGCCCGCTCTGTCAGCGGCTCATCAGAGTGCAGGAACGGACACGCCTTGCCAGCCTGACACGCGCCTTGCCGGTAGAACTTGCAGGGGACGTGTGAGGTGTTCTTGTTGTTTGGGGGGCTGCGCGGGCCGGCAAAGCCCATCTCGCGCAAGTTTGCCCTATGCTCGTGGCCGTTGGCGCGCCCGCCAGGCACCGCCATGGGCCCATGGCCATTCGCGCCCGCCATTGCGCCGTTGGAGTGCTGGGGCCTGAGGTCGCGCGAGGCACGTCTGGCTATCTGCGGCGGGGGGTTCGACGACTGAGACTGAGGTGCGGTGGGCGGGTTGAGCTGATGGGAGAAGGGTCCGTGGTGCTGGAGATGCTGTGGTGGGGGCTCTTGGTGGGGTGGCTTGTCTCGGACGTCTGAGGGAAAATTGGTCGGCGCAAAGGTAGCCATAGCTCTGCAAATTGTGGTAGCGGGCCTCGGGCCTGGGTCGGCGGTCTACCTTCGGCGGAGCAGTGAGAGAATTTCCCTCTGAGCAGCGAAAGCCGAGAAAGAGACTGCTATCACCTGCACCCGTGAAGAGGTCAAGCTTGCCGCGCAAACGCTAGTATCTACGCGGTAAAGGCAGATGCGGCACGTCGCTTGAGGCGGGAACAGGACATGCGACAATCGAAGACGGGAAGACGAATGAGAGCTGCAGCGAGGTTTGGAGAAGGAAGAAAAAGGAAATTCAGAACTATGCTGGAGAATGATACGCCGGCTATATCGATATGCGCGCACCGCGTGGAGCTGCAGCCTCAGCGGTTCGCGCGTGACATGGAAATCCGACGGCGCCGCGTGACGCCATAACAGGACCCTGGACGTCGACGAGGGAAGTCGCCGTGGAGAGCTTGCACCCACGCTACGCGTCGTTCCTTCCGTGGCTGGCTGCCGACGCGTCTTCGGATGCCGTCCAGCTCACATGGCACCCCCCGTCTGAAACACCTTGGAACACATCTCGGACGACCATTGCCGTGCACGGCGTGACCGGCCAATCGACGCGGATGGAGAGCTCACGCCTCATTGCAGCGCGACGGTCTAGCCGTCACCTGAGGCTTCATCACGGTCATCTGCAGGAAGAGTGGCGCATTTGATGTGGACTAACTGTATTCAACTCTCGTCTAGATATACTGCTCACCAAGATATACTATGCTAATCTTATCATCGCCATCTCTGACAACATATCATATACCCGATGAGATGGCTTCAACCTCGCCACACCCTAGATCCACACTAGCTGTGTCCTATCCGTAGTATACCCGCCGAACAGGTGTTGTTGTACCATTCCATCTGCAGATCATCCATCATGTGCACTTGCGGTATACCCAGGTTGTATGTGTAAGCATTGAACTGGATACCCGAGAGCGCGCGGAAGTCATCGTTGAAGAAGATCTGAGTGAGGCGGCAGTTGATGTAGCCCCAGCATGCCGGGATAGTCGCGTTTTGTTCTGCGACAAGGACTTCTTGTTGGAGAGTGGTGTCGTAGCGATAGCCCGATATGCGCAATGTACAGGGTGTGAGGCCGTTGAGAGCACACCCGAAGTGGGCGGAGTACGCGTTGAACCAGTAGGCGTTGACTGATGCTCGTGGTCCGGCGCCCAGCTCTCCGGGAAGCATTGTGCCTGCGAAGGGCGTGTTGGGAAGGAGCCGCCCGGTCAGAGGCAGGAACATGGCGATGTTTGGTTGCGAGATCGCGGGGTATGGCTCCCACATGTCGGGTACGTATGTGTATCCGTTGCCGTAGAACAGGTGGTGGTATGGGTTCTTCATGCCACTGGCGACAAGCAGTATAGTGTTGTCATCATCGCCGGTGACCGTGTCATCGAACGTCAGCGTGAAGTTGCCCGACTCGCCGCAAGAGGAAGGTCCTGGTGCATCTGGAATAGCCACGGTCGTTGTCGCAAGTATTGTTGTCTCTAGCGTGGGGGTGGGCACAACAACAGTGATTGGAACATCCTGCCGCTTCGCAAGTGATGTCGTGCCTTCATTTTCGTCTTCAAACACTGTCGTCACTACCGTCTTGAACCGTCTAGATCGAGATGAGAAGATCTCAAAAGATGGTAGAGCAGAGATCGGTGTCTGGCGCTCAGTCCGTGTTGTCAAAGGTATCGTTTGCAGATCTGATGGCTCGGGTCCAGTCACCGTGGGGTACATTCCAGTCCAGTACGATACGGTCGTTGAGATGTTGGGTGACGGGAAGACAAAACTGATCGCAACATCCCCATACGATATCACCTTCGTCATAGCCCGAGCGCTGAACAAAGACGTGGCGTTGAAGCCTGGAGCAGCAGACGACGTCGCTAGCGGGGAGGTAGTTGTCGTCAACGTCAATGTAGAAGTCAGAGTGCTTTGTGAAACTGGAATAGAGCTTGATAGTGAACTGGACGCGGTGCTGGCGGATGGACTGGAAGTCAATGAGCTTTGCGAAACTGCAGCGGAACTTGACAGTGACCTGGAAGCGGTGCTGACGGTCGGACTGGAAGTCAAAGTGCTTTGCGAAATTGAAACAGAGCTCGATAGTGAACTGGACAACGTAGTAGCGGACGGAAGGCTTATGCTACTACCAGACGACGAAGAGCTACCGGCCAAAGAGCTAGATCCAACAGAAGAGCTTGTCATGGTGCTAGAACTCAACAACGTAGAAGAGGTAGACGTCAAGTTAAAGCTCAGAGTCGACGACGAATTCGAAATGGGAAACAGTGTGGCAAAGCCGACAGAAGTACTTGAGCTTATTATGCTAGTCAAAGGCTGACTCGGCGAGCTCAACGACGATGTAGGGCTGGATGTACTGCTTGGAGTGGATGGTGGAGCTGAAGTCGGCAACATCCCCGGTATCGAAATTGAACTCCCGGTTGGAGACGTCAAGGAGGGCGACAAAGTGAAACCTGTCGATGGCACAACGGAGGAGCTACCTACACTGGCGGGAAGAGTAGATGAACCGAAGCTGCTTGGCAAGAGGGGAGTTGATGTAGATAGCGATTGAGTAAGACCCGTTGACGATGGTATCGTAGGACTGCCGATACTGCTCGTAAGGCTCGTGAAGGTACTTGACGATATGTCGGCGGAAAGAGTTGGTCCTGAAACGGGACTAGGTAGAGAGACGGTAAAGCCATCGCTCTGCGTGGATGGGAAAACGAAAGAACCCCCTGTAGTTGTCGATGTGACGCGACTGAGAGGAGCCGAGCCACCGGATAGGCTTGTCAACGTTGTGGGTGCACTAGAAGTCGTCGGTACGTTCGGACTAGATGGAAGCGCCGAAGACGTTCCGCCAGGCGTGCTTGGGAGTATGCTTGAGCTCAGATCAGGCAGGCTGCTTGATAAGGCGACTGATGAGGTAATAGTGTTCGAAAGGGTAGAGACCGTGGATGGCAAAAGCATTGTAGACAGCGTAGAGACGGAAGTAGACAACCCGCTACTGATTGTGACAACGCTCGTTGAAGCAGAGTACGACGGATAAGGTCTCTGTGGTTGATTGATAGGCCGAGGTAAGCTCGATGTCTCAGACGATGTTGAGCCCAATGAAGGTGAACTTACAGACGACGAAGTCGATAGACCCGGTAAGGACAAAGCCGATGTAGTCGGTCCCAACGTAGAAGAAGCAACAGCAGCACCAGAAGAGGGTATACTCGTCACCCCCACCGAAGAGAGAATCGGCGTGACATCTACCGTCCTGGTAGGCAGCGTACTGAACCGACTAGGCGGCGCAATACTGTCCAACCACTCCGTCGTACTATTCACGACAGAAAAGTAGTACGTGCCTTTCGCCGGGTTGGTAGGAGACGCACCAACGAGCGAAATGGTGATGATCGGTCCAGGAACAGTGACATAGACGATGCTGCAGTTGCCGTCGACGGCTTGAGCCGAGACACCAGGTATTGCGTTGAGTAGTATGTCCAGGGCAACGTAGCCACCAGCCACGACTATACCGACGAAGGCTAGTGTCAATATGAGATCCTTGGAGGTTTGCTTGTCGGTCCAGCGTATCCGGGTTAGGGCGACGAAGAATTGGTATATCCATTGTATTATGCGACATGGCCACCAGTTGCAAGGCTTGAAGCCCCATCGAGGTCGGGCTACGAGGGTGGCCTTGGGTTTGGATTGCTGCTTTGGTCCTTCCCATGTGTTTGAGATGACCGAGTCTCGTTTGTCTGTTGCGGCCTTTCCGCGTGTTATCGGAGGAGCGGGCGATGAGCCAGTGGAAGGGCTGGATGTGGTTGTATCTTTCAGCGAGGTGATGGTAGGAACACAGAGCGTTTTCCCTGCGGGTTCTGTTGGTAGCTGCCGACGATCAGATGTATTGCTAGTGGATCTGGTTATAACGGCCCCGTGAGAAGATGTCCATGTCGAAGGGGTGCTTGAGCCATTCGTGTCGCTGGTCGAGGTCTTGTCTTTCCTCGACTTGTCCTTGCTGCGGATCTTGTTCTTGCCCATGATGAGAGGAGATGTTGTTGCTATGATGCACTTGCGAAGATGTTGCTGATAGGCTGTTGTGCAATGATTGTGGTGCAAGAGGTATCCAAAAGTGCTGTTGTGGTGATGGAGGATGGTCGTACGAGGCGAGTGTATAAGCCCGGGTGCGTGGGGAGTGTGCCTGCCATGATTGCGGTGAAAACAGAGTAAGCATAGACGGTAGATCGATGGCCAGAGTGAGGACGATGCGACATGTTTGCAAAACAGTTGGAAAGCGAGATGAGTATTTGTTGACCGTTCTCGGCTCGGGAGTTCGCAGCAGTTGCGATCCAGCATGCAAGAGCCCGCGCGTGACTGATCCCTCGTAGTTGACGCAGCTTGCTCATCACTGGAGGGAAGAGGTGAGGCAACCATTTGCGCTGCTTCTTCGAAGACATGTTAAACTCCCTGTGTGCGATATGTGCAGTACTCTCGGTCAAAAACCCCAGCCACAAGACTGGTCTGGAAACACTAGTGATTTGGCGTCCTCTAACGTCGACGCTTCCAAAATTAAGCTCTTATCTCCCACATTCTGATATGTCCAGCTTCGTTGGCGACTGCCAGCTGTGCGAGGCTGCCTTCTCTCTCCTCCTCTTCGCTCGGCCTTCCCCATGCGACTGCTGTGATTCTGCCAAGCGGTGTCTTCTCGGTAGGCCAATTCTTGAAGACGGTTGCCGATGGAAGGTGCACCAGCCTCATTGCGTTGTTCTTCCATTGACTCGCCATGGCAAGTACTTGACCGTCCGCGGTGAACGTGAGATGCGAAATCGGCGTCGTCAGGTTTTGCAAGTCGCGTACCGGCTTCGGTGCCTTCGGGATACCGCCATTCGAATCGTCTTTGGCAGGCTTGACTGAGGGGTCGTTCTCGCTCCATGCTCGCCGGTCGTAGACGTTGACAACGCCACTTGAGCTGCCAATGGCCACCCATCGATCGCCACCTATCCAGCTTTCACGTCCGCTCTTACCACCAAGGGCAATGACTGTAGTACCCACAGCACCCTCGTCGTTCCATCTTCCTATGACGCCTCCTTCAACGCTCCACTCCGTTATCTCTCCGTTCTTGCCCGCAATGCTCATACCAGTGCCGTCGCCCCACCATGCGAAGTCAGCAACACCCCCTCTTGACTCGACGCGCACCTGTGTCGCCCACTGCAGTGTCCTTGCATCCAGAATGTTGATAACACCGCCACCCTTTCTCGAGGAGCCCCGAAGAGCCATGTATTTGCCGTTCGGTGAGAGGGAGAAATTCTCCATTGTCCGTTGTTCGTGCTGGTGACCGTATACACGCGACACCTTCTCCACTCTGCCGGTCGCGATATTCCAGACGTGGAAGTAGCGGCGTCGTGCGCTGAGGAAGATGCGCGAGTCCGAGGGGGAAGGATGGAACGCCGTTGTGACGAGAGGAGTCTTTTTTATGTGCAGGGATGTGAGGAGAGGGTTCGGGTTCGGCGGGTTGGGGTTGACGTGGTGAAGGTAGAGTGTTGAACTAGGACCGGAGGAGAGGAGCAGCGGGTACGCAGGATGGAAGGAGAGGGATGTGATGGCAGACTATAGTGGCGGTCAGTGAGAGGAGTCTATACAATGGCGTCGCAATACTCACCGGGCCCGCCTTTGCGACGTCTTTCAGGCGCTGAATGTCAATGGTGCCTGCTTGCACCTTCCTCCGCTTGGCCACGCTTCGTGAGGTTTGTGACAGGATATCCGCATCCTTCAGCAGCCTAGCCAGTGGCTGCGTAGACAGGTCCTCTTCGTCCACGTCCATGTCACTCGCAGACTCGTCGCCACTCTCGTCGTCGTCCATGTCCCTTCGGCGCTTCTTGTTGGCCTTGCCCGTAGCATGCGTCGCCCATTTCGGCGTGGGGTATAGCCTCTGGTACTGCTTCCGCAGCCGCCGCGCATATTCCTTGCCGTTGACCATGTCGTCATCCGCCGTCTCTCGCAGTTTCCTCAGTTGCGGCACCGACGCCAAGCTGACTACAAGCCTCTCGTCGTCGCTGTCTTCCCAGGCGGGCTTGACATCGTCCTCGTCTGATTCTTCTGCTTTCGCAGCAACGGATCCCGCAGGCGCAGCGACTGGGCCAGCATCGAAAAAGAAGAGGTCTTGGTCTGCCACAGCGTCGAGGTCTGCCTCTTCTGCTCCGGACTCGTCCGATGAGTCGCCATATGCGTTTGCGGTCGGGTCGAGCGAAAAGTTCTCCAGACCCTGGCGGAAGCCCTCAGAGTCGCCAAAGATCATGCGCTCCAATTCCTCCTCCTCAGCATCTTTGGGCAGAACAGGCTTTTCCTGCTTCTTTTCCGTCTGAATGTCTATGCTCTCGTCGTCGCTTTCCTCATCATGAGCGCCGTTATTCCCAGCCTCCTCCTCTGTGCCGAACCCCTCGAAGTCATCGTCCTGGGGTTCCTTCACCGGCTGCAGTGCGCCTGCATTTGCATCGTCGTCTGAGCCCTCGAGTTCGGACTGGAATCGCGCAGGGTCTTTCGCCTTCTCGGGTGCGTAGCGCTGGTGACCACCGGACTTGTGTGGGATCGTCTTTGCGGGCGCCATTGTGGTTTGTCGTGAATGTGCAACGAGAGCTGCAGGCGCGCGATCGCAAAAGTGAGGGAGAAATTGTTGCAGGGATGACCCTGGTACGCGGTAGGATTAGGCGAGCCTCCGCAGTCAGCACCTCGCAGCACCACCACTCGCGGTCTCATCATGTAACACAACAACACCATAGCAATATGTCTAAACTCAACATGAGACAGCGTGAGTGAATAGTGAAGAATCATACATCTTGGAAAATGGTACACTAAAAAGACGTTCCGCCGCAAACGGGTAATTAAGCCCTGAATGATGCCCTGTTCCCCCGCAGGAAACAACCTCCGCTGCATCACCTGGGCATCCATTGATGGCCACGTGACAAGGCCACCGCGTCAGCTCTTTTGCGTGCAGGATGTAGAATGACAGGTACATCATTTTTCTGAGTAAGAAGAATCATATCCCATCTCCAACTCCTTTCGCTTCGGACTTCTATTGGTCGACTACGCCGATTCCGACAGGCATGCCGGGCACGCCAAACGCGGAAGGTATGACTCTGCCCTAGGCAGACACATCAGTACATAAGTACACGCAGTTTCCTAAATTAATTTCTCAGTACCACTCCATACGTTTCATTGTCCGGTAGTGTCTTTCGTCTCTGTCCCACAAAGCCTTCCAACCATCAACATGCCAGACCCGAACCTCACAGTCTCGCTTCTCAAGCCCGAAGAAGCAGAGCAATACATGCGCATACGACACGAGGTCTTCCGCCCAACCGTCAACAAGATCCTCTATGCCCGCCGCGAGCCATCTCAGGAAACCCTCGACAAAGTGACAGAAGACATTCGCGATGGCATAACCAACAAGGGCATACTCTACGTCAAGTGCGTCGACACGTCGACCGGGGAGATAATTGCATGCGCACGTTGGCGCTACGTCAAGCCCAAAGAAGAAGGCGCGAAAGAGCGTACTTGGGAAGAAGTCGATGCCGGTCTCACCGTCCCACCACCATACGAAGAAAGTGACCCGGAGATGTTCGCGGAACTCTTCAATTTGTTCAACTCGAACAAGCGGGAGATTCTGGAAAGGAGAGCATACTATGTTCTGGACACACTGGTTACATTGCCGCAACATGGAAGGAGGGGAGCGGGAAGTATGCTAGTGCGATGGGGTTGCGAGAAGGCAGATGAGGTTGGTGTTGAGGCGTTTCTTGAAGCGAGTCCCATGGGCGCGCCCATGTATGCAAGACATGGTTTCCAAGCTATGAAGACGGTGGAATTGGATCTGAGGAGGTGGAGTGGGGAGGACAAGATGGAGTTTATTGTAAGTTTGTTTTGTCTGAGATTCTTCAGAAGCGGGGCTAACGATGTGATAGCTTATGTTGCGTCCTGCAAAGCAGCAAACATGATGTTTTCGATCATACTGGCAGACCGTGAATAGAACACATTGTGGCTATCCATTCCTAATTTCACTCATTTCACTGACGGTTATTTGCTAGTACACTGCACGTGAATGCCAATATAATACGAAGCCCTCGACATAGCTACTAGCACCAGACTACAACTTATCAAACTACCCCACAACTGATTTCTTTCAGCACCAACGAAGTCGCAATGGCATCTACTCAGCCGATCTACGGCATCACAGCGTCACTAAAAACATACAAAACAGAAGACGTCGAGTCGCCCGACCCAAAAGACGAATGCTACGTATGCATGCGTCCGTTCAACGCCGTCGACAACAAAGACGACCCAAACGAGGTCCCATGTAAGGCCGTAAGGCTCTTACCCTGCGGTCACCTTATCGGCAGCGAGTGTCTAAAGATCACGACTCTGAAGCTCAACATGACAACCTGCTCTCTCTGCTCGGCCCCCCTCGCCGTAACATACGGAAGCCCGATGAACTACATCATGTGCCATCTCTTGTCGAATTCCTACACCCAAGCACTAGTCGACCACGCACTGCTCGTGGGTTCTGTACTCGCAAGCCCGCAAGTCGCCAACATACCCCTGCTAGGACGGTTACATACACAAGATGACGAAGAGAAGATGGCTATACTTTCGTATGCCTTCTTCGCCCGAGAATTGACATGGGCAGACGCATTCTCTTTCTGGCTGTATTATATGAAGCTAGTCTTTGTATCTTTGTTAGGGCTGAGCTTGCTTTTCTTATCGAAAGGCCTTCTGATCATGCTCGATGACTTCTACGGCGCTCCCATTGAGATGGCATTTCTCTCCGCTCTAATGGGTACGGATTGCAGGGCTCATCTGTCCAAGATCGAAATGCGTATGGTCGTCCAGGCTCTATGCATCGCGATCGACATGGGTGGGCAGGTCGCTATGAGACGACACCCAGAGCATCTGAATAAGCTCGTGCTCATGAGGGCTGCCGCGTGGCTTAGGGAGGCTATGGTGATCTTCAGCTGGGACGCTTGTCTCTTTGTTGGCAGCGGCTTGCTCCTGACGAAGACGTTGGAGTTTGTCGTAATGGCTGCTGTCATCACGATGCTTGTTTCGTATGGGTTGAGGCGGGGAGGGAAGATGTTCAGGTGTGCCTGGGGGTTGTTGCTGGCGGCTGTGATGATCTATTTGACGAATGGGCTTCGCATGATTTCCATCGGCAGACTGACGATTTCCATTGGCAAATTTCCGCAGGCGTAGTTGGGGTAGTCGCGATGGCGTCACAATGGTATCTAAACGCGGCGATGTCTTTCGCTGTCAAGACTGACCTTCTGACACTCACGGTCCTGCTGGAACTATGGAAGTTGTATCAGCGAGAAGATATAACACATATTTTTGTACTCAGATTGTGTGACTTCATTCCCAGCCCTAAAAGCCCTCAAAGCCTTCAAGCATGTAAATGTCTTAAGACTACCACTTTGCTCGCAATCGACGGCCAGTCTTTACTTTAATAGGTCTGTGGAAACTACAATAGCCTGAAATCACAACACGTGCATGCGCGTCATCGACGCGGGTGCGCACATCGCCGCGCTCTCTATCCCTGCAAAGCTTACTAGAGGCGGGCTGATCTCTTCAGCGCCACATGTTTGCCTTGTGTCATCTTCACGCTCACCATCACCATCACAGATCAATGAGCGGAAAGTGATCGCTGCCTGCGCTCCGCAGGCAATTCGATTATCGCCGTGGTAACGACATCGAATCAAGGCGTGAAGCTGGGATGAAACCGGCTGCGCGAGCGACCCCCCACCCGCTCTAGGCGACAGTAACCAGTGGTACCAAACAACCTGCGACCAGCACTGCCTTTCCATGTGAGCTCGTGGCTCTCGTGACGAATCTGGTCACACATTGCCCGCTGTCAATACCCGTGTTATTCAACAACCACCCTGACCCTAGATCACATCAAAGCCATGGATCTCCCAACTGAGGCGACCACCATCCGCAAGGTCGTCCCCAAGACGCCGCAGGTCAAAGCATCTCAGGTCTTCGATAAAGAAAACCACGCTCCTCCAACACCATTCAAGCCCAAGATCAAAGAAACCAAGCTTGCACTCAATGACGAGACCTCAGACTTCACCATCATCTGCGAGGGCCAGCATTTCATCACACATAAGAGCATCCTGGAAGCCTCCTCGCCGTATTTTGCGCGCATGTTTCGCTTCAATGGTAGTGTGAGTATCATCAAGCACATTGACATACCTGCCGTGCTGAACCACTGCAGGAGAACAATGACAAGGAAGTACACATACCCGACGTCGACACGGTAACCATGAAGCACATCCTAGACTACATGTACACATCAACCTACCAGTTCCCCGGCGGCGAGACCGTCCACCCCACAGCCTACTGCAACCACAGCACCTACGCCCTCCTGCATGGTCCCCCGACCGCTCCGCAGATCTTCAAGCGCAAATGCCCATGTGCCGGCAAAATGCTATCGGCTTCGCACCTCCTCAAGCACGTACGCATCTATACAGTTGCCGACTACTTCGATATGCACGACCTCAAAGCCTTCGCACGCCAGGGCGTCATAGACGTCTTGCATGTGTACTGGCAGTATGAGGGTCTGGATTTGGCTGATGCGCTGGAAGAGGCCTTCACGTCTACGCTGGATGATGACAAGGGGATTAGGGATGTGCTTGTTGATGCGATGAAGATGCATCCAGGACTGGTGGTTGATGAGGGGGATGTGGAGGAGTGGTTGGAGGATCATCCTGAGGTGAAAGCGAGGGTTAACTGGGACTGAAGAGGGGGCTGTGATGTATTTGGATGACATCATGAGATCATGAGGCTACTGAGGCGAATGAGTGGATGGACAGCTAGTGAGATAACATCAAGCTTCGATGCCGTTGTATCGCTTGGAAGTACCTGATCAACTCATGCCGACCTCATGTTCGGGGTCTGCTTCGTTCAACCCCTCAACAGGAAGCTTGACGATCGGCTAACGAAGCTTAACCGCGCGCGGTCGCAACATCCGACGACTAATCCCCGGTGGAATACCTATCAAAACGTCAGCACCCCTACCCACAACCCTCAATCTACAAAAACATACCAGTACCATTCATCCCACACCCATCAACAAAACACGCACTCGCCGTATGAATATACCTAATTCTCCCCCCTTCAACCCGAAACATATGACTATCCGGCGCCCCCTCTGTATTCCTCGTGCGATCCAGCCCCGTAAAACCCATAAAGATATCCACAACACCCATCACCTCATCAACAACATACTTGCGGTTCGTCATCGGGATATGTTCAGGCAGCCCACCGATATCGCACGTATTCGCCGAGAGATTTCCACGGCCGGTATACGCACCGCCTTCGAGACGAGCGCAGGGCGTGCCGAAGGGGACGTGCATGGAGACATCATTGCAGCGGTCGGCGTAGGCTTCGCCGGCTGCTTTGATGGTATCGCGGGTGTCGCGGGTGGATTCTGGGATGGGACTCCAGGTTTCTTGGCTGTTCCAGTAGGAGGTGCCGGTTGCGTTGAAGGCCCAGTCGCCTGCGTCGGTTACGATGCTGTCGATCAAGTTTACGTTGCCTGAGGTGTCTAGGGTCATTTGCGTGTGTATTACGTATGGATGTTTGGCGTCGGTGACGATGAGCTCGGTCATTGTCTTGCATTGTGTGGTGTCGAGGATGGAGCGGTGGGCGTCAATGGTTAGACCGAAGGCGGGTACGCCGTTGAGAAGTGAGGCGGTTACGTTGTTTTCGAAGTATTTCATGGTGTAGGCGATGTTTTCGAAACGGTCGTGTTGGCCCGTTGCCATTAGGTCAACGTAGGAATCTGCTGTGTTCTGGAGATATTCGCGGGTGCAGTCGAAAGCCATGGTGGACGTCGCCATCGAAGCCAGGGCAAAGAGAAAAGCCATGATGGTTGGAGCGATCTTGGTGTGTCAACAGCGAGAGTTCACGGGCCTTTAAAACAACGATGTCCAGTATCATCGCAGGCTGTAGAATTCCTAATGGGATAGGTTCCCGCGTTCCTGGATTCCATGGACGAATAGTAGTGATGCATGGGCGTATGGTACTCTTAGCCATATTGATGAAGGGTGTGGGGCACTCCGGCATTGAGCATTCATCGTCTGAGTCTCGCGCATCCCCACACGATCGTTGTTCGAATATATTGAACTCCTCTGCAATCGCTGAGACACGTTCAAAATGCTCCAGATGATGTTGCAGCGAGATCGCAGACGCGCCGTCCAGCGTCGCAAGCCATTATTCATGACTTATCTTCACAGCTCTTGCTTCCTGACATCCGGTAGGTGATAGCAATTCCTCAGTCGGCATGCAACCCACGAAGCCTCGCAGACATTCTTGCAATGCTCTTCATCCCAGTCGTCCAGGTAGTCCCACAATGTGTTCATCGATGCAGCCTGTGTAACGTCAGTACACGACCATCTCGATGCGGCCATTGGAAGATACATACTATTTCTTGTGGTGATGGCTTGCGAGATACGTAGTCGGTGTCCAATTCGGAATCGGCTTGCACTGACTGCGGCGAGCTGTGCTGCTGGTCTTCCGCTAGAAGCGCGAACGCGTAATAGACGCTGTATATCAGCAGAGACGAGAGGACGAGTACCAGCAGAATATGCGCGACTCGAAAGAGCAGCTTCATCGCAGGTTGCGCGGCGGTCTCGGCTCAATCAGGCTGCTGTGGATTGTTCCTGGTGGGATCTCATGAATCACGGGATGGTTGGGTGACCGAGCGCGCTAGCGCGCTTCCGCTCTCAGGCCCTGCCACGCGCCCGCGTCTTCGCGGTATTTCCTTCTTTCACCTTCCCAACACTTTCAACGCAAATAACAATCGCTCAGCAAGCATATCGCGAAACAAATTGTCATTCACGCGTATGCCGCCACACTCAAGCCATGACCGTGTTCACGCTTCCAAGTCGCCACACGCGCGTTCCGCTTCGACGCGTCTAGAATCTGCTACATCTCCAAAGTCACTACCTGATGATTTCCTATACATGACCGGAGTTGATATACTGATCTGCGGAGCTGACTGCACACATTTGAGAAGGCGGACACAAGAACATATACCTTCATCCGTCTGATTCGAAAGTCTGCTAACAACGCAACAATGGAAACAGATCCGGTAATAAGTATCCTTCACTTTGTAGAGCGGGTGAAGGTGGTTCTATACCGACCATGATTTCTAACCGGACGTGTTTTCACTCGACACTCGACAGGCGCCGAAGCAGAGCACGAACCAATGGAGCCTCTACGACTGTTCCTGCTGGGAAGTTCTCTGTCTATATAATGTACCGCTCTCTTGGTCTTATATCAACTACAGCCGTTCTGCAACTCTCAACGGCCGTTCAACCCTCAACACTTTCATACGCCAAGCGCAGTACGCTTTCCCATTTTTCTAATAGTGAGCTATCGGCCTTACAACTAGCTCAGTCAAGACGGTTTCAACAATGAGCAATGATAGCTGGGACGACGATGACCGCCGCCATGACTCTCGCCGGAAGACGAAAAATCGAAGAGTGAAGAATGAAAAGAACTTCCTCGAGACGTTGATGGACTCATCAATCGAGAACAGCATGAACAAGCCACTGTTCAAAGCTATCAAGGTCTGGATCGATTGCAACATAGGCATAGACCTCACCTATCTGGTTTGGGCTATTGCTTTATGCATCCCTGCTCGCACATACGGCAAGGCAACATACGACTGGCTCAGTTCGAACCTCACAAACTCACTTGAGCTCGACAGTAGCGATGCGCTGGTCACCGACCTTTTGATGTGGATCAGCAAGCAACCGTCCAACCAGCTGTTCGCCTGGCTTCCGACTTTCGAGCATCTGGAGTGGAAAGATTTGTCGCATGAACAAAAAACCGCCAACAATGATGAGAGCAACTCTCACCATCTCATAGCTTCTGCTGGCTACACTCCTTTCTTCCACGAAGGCGTACCATTTCTGCTGTACAAACCGGATGGCCGAACCTACGACAAACTCACGTTACGCTGCATGTGGGGCAGTAAAAAGCCCATCGAAGCCTTGCTGAAAGCCGTTCATAAGACTGTCAGCGGCCAGATGACGTCCCTGAATGTCCTTTACGTCTCTGCTCATCGCAATGTAAACCATACTTCGAGGAAACGTAGTCTTGAGACGATTGACATGAACCCACTCAAGAAACAAGAGCTTCTGACTGATCTCCAGGTGTTCTTTGCCGATGGGACGGAGGACTATTACTACCAGAATGGAACGCCATACCGGAGAGGTTACTTATTCTATGGTCCGGCTGGCACAGGCAAGACCAGCTTGTCTACCGCAATTGCGAGTCATTACAATTTGCCGCTTTGCGTCATCGACCTTGCAGGCATGGACGACACCATTTTGCAGAACGATGTGAAGAATCTGCCCGCTCGCTGCGTCATCCTCTTCGAAGACATTGACGCTGCGGGCATTGTCCGTGAACGCACCATGGCGCTGCCGCCTTTGGAAGAACAAGAAGATAGTGACGAAAATGAGGAGGAGGAGGAGGAGGAGGAGGAGGAGAGTGGCTCAGAGTCCATCAGCTCATGGAATGCAAGGCCGAAGAAGAAGAAGCGTAGGAATGTGGATTCTAGAAAGAAAAAGTTACCGCCTCCGCCGCCTCCCCCGTCGAGGACAAAAGTCACTCTAAGTGGTTTGCTGAACACTCTAGATGGACCTGGATCGCGAGAAGGCCACATCGTCATCCTGACAACAAACGCTCCTGATTCATTGGACGAAGCTTTGTATCGCCCAGGTCGTGTAGACACCCAAGTGTATCTCGGTTTCGCTGACGACATCACTGCTGGCATCACATTTACACGCATCTTTGGCAGCGACAAGCAGGTGACTGTGCCGCGGAAAGAGCTCAATCGCATGGGCCGCCGCTTTGGGCGGATGATACCCTCCGACTTCTTCACTCCCGCTGAGATTCAGAAATTTTGCATGAATAGACGTGGTCAGCCACAAAAGGCACTCAATGAGTTTCCCCAGTTCATCGACGAAAAGCGGACAGGGAAGACAAACTTCAAGTACGACATCCACCGACGTGCCCCGCAACCCACCTTTCAAAAGAAGGAAGCCATACGTGACGATGACTCTAGCGGTGAGGGTCAGGACACTCCCAGCAGTACTGATGGATCTGTTGAAGACGTCAAACAACTGACACCTGGGTCGCCCCATGCACCATCGACCAAGTTACCTTCTCCAGCACGGCAGAGGAAGCGCGCAATAGAGCAGCTGCACATCACTCATAGCCGTTACCCGCATGAAGATGACGCCTTGGCTTACGGCGATTATCATCCGAGACGAGGTCAACGAGTTTGGGAGGATCGTCTGGCCGACAGCGTCGCCGATGCGTGCCAGGAGATCAAGGGGTTCTTTACTGAATCACGGCATCCGTCGCACGTAAACAGCCTGCGTGCAAACCGGATTGAAGAGATGACCATGCCCAATTTCGAGCCACGCATGACCGCGCCGTCACCACTCACTCAGTCCAACCTTGATGCAATGTCGCTTGACGAACCTCCAGCTGCATCGCCATCTCCGATCGACTTAAGAGACTCATCTGTGTACTACACGCCTCTATCGGTTGGCGAACAGATTGAGAAGACTTTTCAGCATCACCGCCGGCCCAGTCATTCAGATGTAGATGGTCGTCGTAATGCCTACCCGCATCACGGGCCCCTGACGGGAGTAGCCGAAGGTAATGCCTGGGAGGATGAAGTGTCACCGGCGCCTAATACCGTTTCACTTCGTAATTTAGACCCGCAGCCGTTGGAGAATTTCGAGCAGCGCTGGAACTGAGAAACAGCGCAACAGAGCCCGAAAGTTGTGGAGTTGCAAGTGGCGGGGCGAGGCCACGTCGCCGTATACTTGTAGGGTTAGAAGGCTCGGTGTTATTACCCAATACTACATGGCATAACTGGAATCTGCAATTTATTACAGCACCGAAAGTTGGCAAAGCGATGAGTAACTAGCAATAGGAGGGCATACAGTGCCATGTTGACAGATGAATGAAGTGGGGTTTCAGCAGACTTGCATCTCAAAGGAAGATTTTCGGGGAGAGGTGGCACTTGCTTTGGACAAGATCGCAATCTGCGCCAAGTCGCACCAAATGTAATGCATTCCATAACATTTCTCCGCGTTACGCGATAATCTTAGCGGCCGTCGAAGAGGATTCTCGTATTGCGCAATGCTCTGATGATGACGCATCATATCCTTGCTACGTGACCCGCAGGCCCGGTGGCTAGACGGTTGTGACAAGGCTGCATAAAGACGCCGGTAGTCATGATACCCGACTTGATGTGCAGAAGTGTAGCAGCCTTACTGGGAACAACTTGTTGACAGTTGGGCTGAAACGGTGCCAATGAACATTGGACGCTTTAGGCGCGCAACATTTTGACACTTGGAAAGACAACTAAAATGATTTGAAAGGGCCTCTTGATGATGTATGTAAAGAGGTTTGAGCGTGAAAAGAGTAAGATATCTGTGGTCGTCGTCGAAATACCTCGGTAGCGCTCTGGTATCAAGAGCGGTATCTAGCACATTCCCTCAGCCCACGTGACATCGCGTTCAGAAGCACCATGATTGGGTCGGAGGGCCCATCCGTACCAACAACACTACTCCTGCACCAGCACTATTCCGTACAAGAAGTCTGGCACAAACCTGCTTATGCAAGTCAGTCACTTTCACTCAGGGTCATCCCGCTCGACGATGCACCGATCTTAGACTGTCACTGTCCATCGATCTTTCCATCGACGATACAGTAGCTGCAGATAGCAACGGAAGGACTATATGTCCTGTACGTGAGTACATATCGCTTAGCGTTGGGGGTATAGACCATATGTAGGCTTGCTTCTCCCATGCGAGCAGATAGCACCGGGAGGACCACACGTCCTGTACGTGAGGACATATCGCTTAGCGTTGTGGGTATAGACCACATTTATCCTTGCTTCTTCAATGGGGAGAATTGCCGGACCCTTGACTGGGTCGACCAGAAACGAGCTAACCCATTCTCCGGCCCAAGGTTTCGCTTCACGGTCCCAGTAGTGCGACTCATCCGGGCTCGACCGCATGAACTAAGAGATATCGGGTTGTACATGCCAGTAGGCTCCACATCAGGAGAGGAATACCTACAATGTAGATACTCGACCATCTGATCAAGATGTGGAACTGAATCAAGTCTTGTGATATGAGATATGCAGAAAAGAAGCACGTCCGGTAATTCGGGGTCATGGAGACAGCCAATTGGTGTGTTCAGCCTGGTTCAGGGCAAAAGGGGTTGTTTGTAATTGGTCACAGTATCATAGCCAGTGCACAATCAGGTTTTCTGCCCAGACCATTCTCGCAACCACAAGTCTGTGCTACAGATTGACTCCACGTATATAAAACAGCCATCCAAACGAATGTATGCAGCATATCTCTTTGGGAAGGTTGTTCCGATATGTATGTAGTTCTCGAGACAGAGAGTGGTTATCTTCGACAAGGAAGTGGACAGATCGAGTGCTATGACCCTGCAGCATTGTAAGACGGGTACTTCACCCGTAAAGCACTAAAGCAACGCCTACAGCTCAGCCCATGAAAGAACCCATCAAGGGGTATACAAAACTGGCATGCGAGCGATCTTTGTGCAGTC